TTGGTGTTTGACGTATGTGACTTTACACGGTTGCATTGCTTCAACAATTTCAAACTCACTGAGGATGGAAGCATTGCTTCCAAAATGTACATCTGAGTGTAACTCGATAAAGTGTATCATTTGTTGAATCAAAACAATTTTTCTATTAAATAAAATACACGATAAAACCTCAAAATTAAAAGATCAATTTGATGTAAAAGCAAATGATTCATTTGATTTAATTTTCGTAAATGAAATGTAGAAAAATACCCGATTCACTGGTAAGCAACGTGAAAATGTCGATACGGATGGTAATAACATCTGCAGTACTGAAGATTCTGACTATTTTACGCCCGAAGATCCGCACACCACAATATTGAGCCCCCTCTGTCCCGATAAAGTATGGAACAATTAATATATTTACTCTGATTTCGTTTTAGTTTTTTTTTATTTTTCATTCTCTCCTCCTCCTTCATGGTGATTGCATGTGTGATCTGAATTAATTAATTAACCTAATACATTTTTTTCCTAATTTTTAGTTTTAATTTTTTTTTTTGATTTAAAACAAAATATTTTGTTGAAATAGCATTTATTTTATATTTATCCAAAGGAAAATGGAAATTCAATTGAATCCCTTCTAATTTGTCAATTTCTTAAGATTTTGAATGCAGCTCTGATTATTTTTCGTAAATATTTGCTTACTAATTCGTATGTCTGAATTATTATTATTATGGTTATCGAACAACTAGCACTTGAAATTTCAAATGGTAACGACTGTTTTTGGTTTGGTTTTTGGAATGGCTTCAAGTAAACATGTAAATATTATTTTAATGAACAAAAAAAAAAAAAAACACACATACACACAACAAAAGCGGCAACAAAAAATGGCGTAGACAATCATTTTTAGTAGTTTGTAGCAAAATGCTTGCGATTTGCAAATCAAGCAAACCGTTGTAAATATATATTTATCTTATTCATAATTTGTATCGAATAAATATTTGCTTTAATTTATTTCTTGATTGGTTTTAATACGATAATTACGATTTATTTCTAATTTCTAATTTCTTTTCTGTACATATTGAGCTTAAGTTTCTTCGTCTTATTGTTGTTCTGGTGATTTTGTTGATTTTACGAACCAAAAAAAAAAATAATCTATTTCCCCTCGATATATTGCATGTGTCCGTTCTGAAGAATAAGGGTAATGACAAGACTAGATCAAAGGAGAGTTTATCATCATCAGCAGCACCGTCTCCATTGGTCGCACTCAAGGAATCTTCTTTGCCAGGTGAAAAAAATGACAAATTCCCAAATTTATTAATTTTCTCACGATTTTCATCATAATATTTTTCATTCTCAATGTGATTTTATAACTACAAAAACAAAACTTATTTTCGAAACTAAAACAAAAATAAATGCTCTTGCTTTTGTTTCAGCAGACAGTCCATCAAGTTCGGCCGATAGTTACTCATCGTCATCGTCGACGCGTAAACTTTTATCGGCTCCATTGCATGAATTACAAATAACAACAGCAGCTACGACCGCAACTATTCCGACGCCATCACTGGCTGCCAGCCGTATTATTGATATTAAAGTTCGAGACGATAAAAAAATTTCCATTGAAAAAGCGGTCGATGTTTGAAAGACAACAATAAAAATAAAACATGCGCCATTTTCGAATGGACATAGAAATAAAACAAAAAAACAAATGAAATTATATATATTATTAATAATAATAATAATAATAATTATTATTATTATTATTATTATTGAAACAAAAAGAAGAGGAAGAAAGAGAAGAAAAAAAAGATCAAAATCACCCATGTTGATAGTAATTAATAAATTTATTCGAAGGAACAGCGAATGAATATTGATATTTTTCCATTTAGAAACGCATTTTGTGTGCAGTCTCATAAAAAACATTTTACTCTTTTTATTTAAGAAAGAAAATCATTTTCCGTTTATTTTGATTTTTATTTTTCTTTTCGTTTTATTTTTACAAATAAATTGACATTATACACACAATAAAAAGAATGCTGACGCCTCTTAATATTTCTTCTCATACTTCTCATCATTAACACTTATTCATACAGAAACAGTCTTCAAATGGTGGAATTGGGAACAATTTCTCGGTTTTTCATTCATGTCGAACAGAGTTGTTTTGGATGCTGTGACCATTGGCCGTCGGCTTTGCAAACAATTTCGAATACTTTTGCACTAGCACATGAAAATATCACCTTGTCGGAGAATAAGAACGAAGTTCCATGAATGATTCTTGCTTGTTCCGGTAATTCCGGCTTTGAACATGAAACTCCTATGCGAAAAAAGAAAACATAATATAAAATCGAAACGATTCGATTGATATAAAACTCGCATCATTACTTGAACAATTCGAAATGCTGCGTGACCATGTTCCCGTGGCCAGACACTGTACAAACGGTTCACCTTTAAGTTCGTAGCCACGATTACACTTTAGTTGCAACTTTTGGCCATAGTAGTATTGGCTTTTGGAATTTCTCGATTGGAATGATAGCTCATTCAAAGTCGGCGGCTTTTCGCATGTGATTGCTGGAGAAAAAAAGGTTTTTATTCAAAGAAAATTTATTCATCAAACTTCGGAAGTTTTCTTTTAATTTATTTTCAGAAAAAAAAACCTGAACATATTGATTTTAGGAATCTATCTACCGCATACCTTCACACTCAATCTGTTTGCCACTCCATTTGAGCTGTTCATTACACTCAAAATACTGCATTTGATTGGGTTTAATTTTGAAGCCTTCTTTGCATTCAACATAGGCGCGTGTGCGAATTGAAACCGGACCGATCAAATAGAGTCGATCCGGTGTTTTAAAAAGGATTTCATTTTCGGTTTTAATTTCACTGATATAGATATTCGATGGAGTATCCGGTAAAGCTTCCAATTGACAGGTTTCGTCAACGGATTCACTTTCCAATATCGCGGCAGTTCGCAGCGCGGTGTTTTGTTCACTAAACTGCTCATCACTCTCTAGTATTAATGGAATTTTTGTTGTGTCTGGTGCATCTGTAATTGGGCTAGTTATGGTTTTATCGGTTAAAACATCTTCATTTACCAGTGAATCACTTTGAGCAATTGAATTGCCCACACTCGTCAATTCGATAGTCACTTTGGCCGATGCTATGCTCGTAACTTCATTATTGTGAAAATCAAGTTGTGAATATTCTTCAAAGGCCTTGGATGCCACGCGTATTATGTAGTATTTCAGCTTTTGTGTGATATTATCGTCGCTGGGTGGTGGTTTTTGCAAAAATGATACATTCAAATTTCGATCGAATAGAATCGTATCGATGTACAGGCACAATACAAAACGGTACGCATTTTCCACGGTTGATGGCATCCGCTTTTGCACTGACCCATTCCCGCCATACAATATAAATGGAAATAGACTTTCGACATTTAATTGATAATCCGGTTTTGAATTTAATACTTCCTCGGCATGTGCCAAATGTGTCAGCAAATTTTGGTCCATATGCTTGAAATCGCCACTATCCGGCAGCTCAAATATCGTGAGATCGGTATAATTTGATGGATTTTTTAGAAGCGCACAAAGTAATGGTTTCATTTCCCTGTTATTGCAACCATGATAATAAAGTTGCTTCAAATCATCCCAGAAATGTTTGTCCGGAAGATCGTTTACTTTGAATGGCTTTGGTGTGGGTGCTATTGTTGTTGTTTTTGTTGCTGTTGCTGTTGTTGTTGATAGCTCAACATTTTGTGGCTGCGTTTGAACTTCACTTCTTGTTGATATTACAGCCGGAATTGTGTCGAATTGTTGGGTGGCCACTGTTTTCGTCTCGACTGATTGACGCGTTGTTGATGAAGGTGACGCTTTAGGTTTGACTTTCGATTTTGGCTTTTGTGTTAGCTTGGATGTTGGTTTGAATATTGCTTTCGGGGTTGAAAGTGTTGGTTTGGCGGTGATGGTAGCTCTTGGAGTTGTCGTTATTGGTGTTGTTGTGGTCGTTGGAATCGGAACACATTCGGGCACAGGTAAATCCCATGTTCCACTATCAATGCACGACAAAAATCCATCGCCTTTAACCATTGTCTCATTTTCACATTGTACCTCGACAAACGTCCCCATCGGATAATTTGGCTGATTATCAGCTATGCGACCATGTTCATTCGCATAGATCAATCGACCGTTTTGCGGCGGATTCAATTTCGAGCATTTTATCAAACCTAACAATATCGATTTGAATTAGCAAATCTGCAATGACTTTAAATCACATTTAACTTAAACAAACGAAAGCATGAACTATGTTTTACTTAAACATTCTGGTTGTGAATCAGACCAAGTGCCGTTGTTGAGGCATTGCCGCACTTTAACTCCATCCAAATAGTAATTGTCATTGCACGAATACTTCGCAACTTCACCAATCAACGTTTTTTCCATGGTGATTTGACCATTCAATAAAGTTGGCAAGTGACCGCAATTGATACCTATGATAAAAGATTAAAAGAAATGAACGACATTTCAATTTTAAATATTCAATGTTTTCTCCGAACACGGAAAAAAATGCGAAAACTTCGCCTAGCTGGGCTATTGTTAAACTTTGATCCGAATATTTTAAACTGAATAGTCCCAGTGCTTCCTTACTTCGGCAATATGGAATCGGTAACGACCATTTTGAGGTGCGTAAACAATTTCGTATTGCAGGCCCTTGTATTTTGTATCCCTCGGCGCAATAATGAAATGCACGATTTTCAAGATATCGAATGTACCCGTTTTTTAGAACCAAATTTTGTGGACAGTGTCTACAGAATGGTGATCTCATTATCTGCCAGAGAAGAGGATGAAATGGGTTTTGAATTTTTTTTAAATATGGATTTTGTAATGTAAGAAATCAAACGGAATTGATTGCTCTTTTTCAAATAATTTCTCATTCCATTTGCAGTGTGAAAACTGAAGTTACCTTCACCGCACCATAGATTTGTGATTTAAAATCGGTCCATGTGAATAGATCTCCTTGATACGGTTCGCACGTTGTATAGAACTCAAACATTTCCTCGGCGCTAATTCGCCGACTCCACACATCCATGTATGCAATGCGACCAATAAACGATTCGGAATCGCTAAAGCTACTGCCAATACTATCCTAAAATACAAATAATTAATTGTACACGCATCAAGACCATCTTCAAAGTGAAATCTCGGTACTTGTTCTTGTCCGACGACAACGGTGCCATTCGCTTCAATCAGTATGTTTGCGCTCAGATTGTTGCCCGAGTCACGTAAACTGCCATCAATGTAAATGTCATATCTGCCATTCAGACTGGTCCATGTGACGCAAATAAAATGCCATTCGCCATCGTTCAATGTGATGTCAGTGATGATATTTTTGCCATGCACGTACAAAACGATTCTGCAAAAATTGCGAAAAGATGAAGTATTGATTTCAATTTATAGGTATCTGCTCTCTCTCTCTCTCGCTCTTTTACCCATTGTAATCAGTCAAAGTGAACATGTTATCGATTGTATCCGTAGCGTATGAGAATATGGTACCATAGTTGAACGAATCATTTGTTTGAATCCATGTGCAAAATGAAATCTGCGTAGATTGAATTTTCAAAAGAAAAAAAAGAACAGAAGAATCGATGTGAATATTATGAATTTGGGTAAATGATTTGTTGGGTGATGATGATTTAGAACCTCGTTTAAATTGTTTGCTGGCCCATTGAGTTTGACGTAGTTGTGAACACCTGGTTTTACAAACTCAAGGAGATAATCAGGCGAGACGAATGTTTCACAATTGGTGCCATAGAAATATGGTGGACATTTGCATGTGTATTTATCATAAATATTTTCATCAATTTCCTCATTCGAATGTAACAGACTGATGTTACGCAGAGCAAATGGTGTGCAAAAGCCACTGCTTTTGCATGGATTCGATTCACAGGCTGATTTGATTTGTGTACATGTGCTGCCCTTCAATCCTTTTGGGCATACGCATCGATAACTCCGCCGTGTCGCACCCAATATCGGTAAATCTACACACTTTGCATTTCGATGGCACGGCAAATAATCGCACGGTCGCAGATGGCACCGGCGACCGATGATGCCCGGCGGACATTTGCACACAAAACCATCGGCTGAATTCAAACACTGACCGCTCTCGCATGGATTATTCGAGCAGAAATTCTGACGAATTTCACATAGTTCGCCGGCAAAACCAGGCGCACACTCACACACTGGTTTTCGATCCGTTTCGATGCATGTGGCATAATTGTTGCAATAATCATTCGAACAACTACTTATTTCGATTTCGCACGTATCACCCGTAAAGTGATCGGGGCATTTGCATTGGACACTGGTGCCATTGACTTGAACACATTGGCCATTGTTGTGACACGGTGCAGATATACACAAATTCAACTGGTATTCACAGTGCGAACCTGCAATTGAAATGAAAACCAAATGTTCAATCATATTTATTGCTTGGAGTTTGGCGATTAAAATTTGGTGCTTAAAGCACTCAATTCAATCAATTCTCTGCTGAATCCAACGTTCAAATAGAACAGCATTTCTCTAACCTACCTGTAAATCCATCCTCACACAAACAACTGTACAAATGGTGATTTCCGTTTTCTTGCACACAAATACCGTGCGGTCCACAGATTCCGGTGTTTATTCTACAAATGTCACGCTTTTCCTCAAAGCAATTTTCAATGGAAATTGCACCGCGCGGTGATGTATGACCTGTCGGGCACTGTATACATTTGTTCTGATTGAAATCAGATTGATACTGTGCTGGTGGACATTTTCGACAGAATGGCATCAGACTGTTTTGAACTTTTTGATTGGCACGCAATCGAGCTCGGGCCATAGTCCCAGGCGGGCATTGATCTAAATCGAATAATAGAATATAAAAACGCTTGGCTGAAATTTTCGTTTCGATTTGAAAAGAAGAAGAAGAAAAAAAACAGTTCAATACCAATGCATTCTTCCTTTACTTTTGCGCCAAGTTTCCGGGTTGATTGATATTGGGGGCATCGTTGACATTCGACTTGACCATCTTTGGCATTGTATGTGCCAAGCTTACACAATTGGCAGCTATTCAATGTTCTATTGTGGAATGTTCCCCGCGGGCATTGAACTGCATTGTCATATTGGCATCGACAAAAAAATAAGATGTTTCCGTTTCATTCAATATTTTTATGAAGACGGCCATTGAATATTATTTGCGAAATCTCAACTTAATGGCATTTGTTTAGAAAAAATGGTGAAAAAATGGTCATTGCCAAAATGACAATGAAAAAAAACTCACCGCAAACACTTCGCTTCAGCACCGAACCACTACGGCACAGTAGATTTTCTTCCAAGTTCAAGTGTTTTACATTGATTCGTAGCGAATACAAACGATTGCGTAGTTGTTCATTCGTGTGATAGGTTTTGAGCTCTTGCTTGACAATTTCCAAATTTTCTGCACGTGAAAGACTCTGATTCCATAAGCCAAGTCCTCTTGAAATTTTCGTATAGATTTTAATTTTCATATTTCCATTATTTCTGGTCGTTGGTGTGACTTGCATTCGACTTGTATCACGTTTCACAACACTGTAGTAATTGCGATTGGTGGTGTCATCATTTTCATCTGTCGCTTCATCGAGGTTATTTCGAGCAATTTCGTTGCAATCCGGTATTTCCGATACAATTTCACAGTTTTCCAAATCTTCACACAACTGTTGACTGAAAGAAATCACGGAAATTAATTCAACAGCCATTGTGATTATCCCTATCCCAAAAAGAAACCAATTCTGCATGAATTTAATTCGTTTCTTACCGAATCTGTGTTGTCAATAGATTTTGTATCATTGCAGCCGTAAGATCTGAGCTATTCTTGCAAACGGCCACATCAACATCAAGTGTGATGCTGAACACTTGTTCAATGCTGTCGGGCAGTTCAACTTTGGTGCAATCGAGCAACGGATCGTAGGCCCATTGTGGATTATCATTTTCGCATAACAATCGAATATGATCAGATTGTTCGTCATCGCCCTCATAAATTGTATAGCCAAGATCACAAATGATATCGCACCATGTGTGCGTTTCATTTCTCGCGCACAACGACTGACCATTGCCCGGTGAACCGAGTGTATTGCACACGGATGGTTTAACAGTCACATTCAAACTGCAAGTATTTTGATTGCCCGACGAATCGGTGGCGATGTATGTGACCACATGCATACCAATACCAATGTGACCCGGCTGGATTGTCTGGCTAATAATCACATCGATATTTGAATTATCATAAATGATCGGCGCGTCCCAATCGACAAACGTTCGATTATCATTCAAATGATTTGAATTGGGAATGAAAATCTCCGGCGGACTGATACAATTGTCGATATTTGGTGGTGTGATATCCAACACAGTGATATTGAAATTACATTTGGCTTTGTTTCGAAATGTATCAACCGCAATATAGCTAAATGTATGATTGCCCAGTGTTAATTTAACACCATCTTCCTTAACCGATGGTTTCAGCCAATAAGTAATGTTGTCATCGGAATTATCTGCGAAAATAAACGAAAGTTATTTTTGTTTTTTTTTTTTCGAACAAATGACAATTTTGAAACAATGATTCAGCAAATACACACACACACACACACACAACTCACCGGTTACATTTGGAGCTGGGAATATTTTTACGATAGCAAAATCGTCATCGTCAACCATTGGAACGAAAAAATCTTGTGGACAAACTAATTTCGGAGGCGTTACATCTAAAAATGAGGTCGAGCAAAAATTCCATTTAAACAAACAGATTTTGTTTTTTATCTGTTGCTCTTTCAATTTTTACACGTACCAACGCATTTTGATAGTTTGCTGCGATTTGACCAAATGCCCGATTTTTTTCCACTGCACGCTTTAACCGCTGGACCTTTGACTTCGAAGCCAGGATCACAAATCAGAGTACAATTCGATCCGTGCACCACTTTTTGATTCGTGCAATCCGTTGGATCATAGCGTCCGAAACTCACTTCTGGCAATCCGGAGCACAAAATTTCTGAAATATTTCCATTATAAAGAACAGATTTGAGACGAACGTTTCGGTTTGAAAATAGCAAAAAAAAAACCAAAGATTTTACGCTTGCATGTCGTTTGCAGGCCATCCCATTTGGAAAGCGGTAAACAGTTGCGTGTGGCCGAACCAATCATATAGAAACCAGGGCCACACTTGAATTTACAATCCGTATCGATTGGCATGAGTTCAGTGGTACGAAGCTCTTCATCATCATAGAATTGCATGAAAGACTCGTTGCGAGGCGTATAGTCGAAGAATAGATTCAAATCGTTATTTTTGCATGTGGCCATCCCGTAGAATGGTACTGGCAGCTTGGGGCATGTTTTCACTAATGGAAAAATTTGAAATGTTCATTGGAATTGTAGGCAATTCAAAGCATTTACTTTCTACGGTTTCTGATGAGAAACCTTTCTGCATACTCACATACGCATTTCGCTTCAACGCCTGACCATGTTCCATTGTCTTGGCAAAGGCGAATACTGCTGCCGATCAATTGATAGCCCGATTTGCAACGTGCACCACAAGCTGTATTCAGCACTCGATCGCAACCCAGCGGATGTTTAACAAAATATCCATTCTCAGGTGGTTGCAACATTGGGCATCGCAATACTTCGCAACGATTATTTACGTCAGCTTTGAATCCCGATTTGCACACACAATATGATGAATTCGATGCCGGAAATTCGCTGGTGATATGATTTATATCGGGACACGGTTTGCACAGACTCCAGCTTTGCCAGTAGGTGCCATTCGGACAAACTAATCGAAAATGGTTTGGAAAAGGATTACTAATTTGGACTCAATCAAAAGAAGTGTGTTTTAGGGGAAAAAAATGCACGATATCTTTACGTTGACAATTGTCCGTTAGACCATCTCCATAGTAACCAGGTGCACATAGGCACGAATAGTGTCCGGATATTGTGGAGCAAGTACATTCCGCATTCGAATCACAACAAGATGATCTACGGAAAACAAAAACATGCAACTTCATCATTTAAACAGATAAACACACAGAACAAAAAGCATGCAGCAAATGCCACACACTCGACAAATGATAAGCGGCTGAATATTTACGTTCCATTTAGCTGGTTTTTATCACAGAGTGTGTCACACAGCGATCTATTTTTAATGCGGATGGCGTTTCCGATTTTGTAATCTATGTGTGAGTGCAAAACAAGCATCGTGAATTAAAAAATATATATATAGTAGCATGAGTGAATGTAAGAGGCCGAAGTATTTGTAGCATAGATATTACCCGTGTGCAGTGCCTTTCTCGCCAAACTTTCAAATTGAGCAAAACTGTCCAAAAGAAAACTGTGCTCAACTCCCGGTTCGCTTGACAATTGATTTAACTCGGCAAAATTGCCCGACTGAATGCCAAATGTAATGATGGTGACGTTGTCTGCTTTCAGTTTTTCAGCTATTGGCAATGGATCTTGACCATTGGAAAAGCCGTCCGTAATGAGGCAAATAATTTTCTTGCTATGCCGTCTAGCTTTCGCTAAAATACTCTGAAAAAAATGACGATAAAAATGTGAATAAAACTAAATTGCCTACACGCCAACCGGATGAACTGAACCTTTGCTTGTTTTAGGGCATCAGCTGTATGCGTTCCGCCTCCAGAAAACTCAATTGCCGGCAATTGAAAGTTGAGCAATTTGCATTTGTCATTGTCGGGATCCGCTTCCGATATGTGATCCACTCGTCGAACCTTCATTTTTTCAGAAAAAAAAGTAAACATTACGCATAATCTTTCGTGGAATTTTGATTCGCCTTGCGAAATAGTTACGTACAATTTTTTCTTGTGAACTAAATGTCACAATGGAAACTCGTGTATAGTTGAAGCTCACATTAAAATCGCTTAAGAATTTCGTTACAAACTTTATTTCGCTGCGAAAATTGGATTTGCCCACACTTGAACTGGAATCGATTAAAAATACAATGTCCATTTTCTTGTATTGCTGCCGGATCCGATGGATAGTTCTCTTTAACACGGCACTTAATTCTTGCACTTTGGATTCGGCGGCAAGTGCATCATCGATGCCCGCCACTATTTTTATTGTGTTTTCAATCAACAACGGTCCGACATTTGTTGTGAACTCATTTTCAGGTAAATCGGTTACATTTGCATACAGTTCATCTGAAGCGGCAGCATCATGATCCCAATCCAATTCATCGTCCAATTCAATGGATTCATCCACATTGTCCGATGATGATAAACACAAACATGAACGTATACTTATGCCGAACAACAACAAATACATTCGAAACAAATTCATATCGCCACCACTTGAATATGCCACAAATCACGCAGAAAGAGAGAGAGAGAGAGAGAGAGAGAGAGAGATATGATGAACACGACGAATTGAATTCCGCCAATCAACAATTTCACCTTCTTTTCAAAACACTAGTTTCGATTATGTTTGGTACTCATTCTTTTGGCGTGTGAATTTTCGATGAATATTGATTTTGGCCGGTTTTTTTCTTCGTCGCAGAAGGAAGACACCAGAGAAAAAACTCACTTTCAATTGTTTTGTCGTTACACACATACACACACTCAAAACAATTGGCCCGTTCCAATAACGACCGACTAAATACAGCGAACTATGCTAATAAACTGATAACTTACATTTCATCCCGAAGCAACGAATTACAACAATTATGTCGTTTGGGCCGGGATAGCATTTCAGCATGCTACAAATTAACGCTGATAACATTCATTCAGAAAAATCAAGCGCATACATTTTGAATTACGTAATTTGTAATCGGACCAGCGTTCTCGAATTGAAGAGGAAAAAACTGAAAAGAACAACAACGCGCTATGATTAACCGCTTCGTTTACGGCGGAGCATCAATGAAACAGCTACGGAATATATTTGCTGTTTTACATTCGAAACAAGTGACAAGTGACAAGTGACAAGATTACTTTCATATCAAATATTCCCCTTTTTTCCTCTCTTACAAATGATTTTCGTTCATATTTGAATCCAGAAATGAGTTTCATTTGAAATATTCGATTGCTGTGTGTCGGCATACAATCTAGGGGGAAAGATCAATTGGTCGTACGCTATTATCTATGTTATTGGTTATTCATCGTTATTCATTGGTATATTGGTGTGAATTGGTCAAATAAATTGAATATTCGTGTCAATCGTGTACATTTAATGTGAACTCAACATAAAAATATAGAACAATAGAGACCGATGTACGCCGATATCTGCCAATATACAGATAAACGCTTATTTTTGAAAAATAACAATACATCAGCGAATTCGTTTAAATTCACGTTAAAGTGCCACGTACTTTTGGTTAAAGCGCTGTACCTAACGCTATACTTCTACTGTATCTGCTTCTTATATCAAACGAATCTTCGAAAACTGATTATGCATGAAATAAAAAATTAATAGAAACCAGAATCTACATTTATTTTTAATTACTATTTTCTATAAACCTAGCTATGAACAATCACATATGAATTATCCTACGAAATTATGTTTAGTTCATGACAATTGATAAAGTTTAAGTGCCGCGTACTTAAGATAGTACTTAATTGCCGTAGTACTGGTCTAGAAATAAATGACACTAGAAATGACATGATAAGTTTGCTGATAAATAAGTACTTAAGTACGCGGTACTCGAGCAATGGCCTAAGTACGCGATACTAAAGCAATAGCTTAAAAGCGCTTCACCTAAATATCTTTACCAATTTTAGTACGAAATATTGGTATATCGGCGAAATATTCAAATATCGGTTAAATATTTGTAAAAGGTCATGGAATCGTTACAAATTATCATTATTTGTTATATTGAGGCTTATTCAGAGGAAAAAAAATTGATCTTTCCCCCTAGCATACAATGATTGCCCTTCAATGTACTCACATTTGGAAATAAAACCAAAAATCTGGACTTCACACAGTATACGCGATCAAGACAGTATTTCCATCGAGTGATTTGCGCGCCATAATTTTTTTCTTCTTTTACTATGCATATATTCAGCATTTTGTGACAAACTTATTATTCTCCCAATATCTCCTGCGCCAAAATACCAGAATAATGTATTTGCTATGAAAACATGTTCAATGACACACTGTTTATTCAGGCTGTCTATTAGTAAATCCAACAGAATTCAAAAGAGTTAGATCTCAATGTGTGATCGCATAAAATTTGAGGTTTATGGTAATTTGAAATTTTCTATTTTCAATGTTTTCTATAACTTTACTGAAGACAGTTTACTCTTATCTCTTATCAGTTCTGCGTTTTACAACCAAAATATTCCTTTGATAAAAAAGAGAAAGAATTTCCAATAGTACGTATCATGCAAGTAATTGGTCGATAAATTGCATGCATTTAGAACAATAAAATCTAACGTATACGGTTCGTATACGGACACGGTATCTATGGTCGATTGCATGTTGATTGATGCTTGTTTGATTTATTTTTCATTTATACACACGTTCAAGCGACACATATAGCTGTTACGCATTATAATCTATGTAGTCAGGATGGCCGAGCTGGTCTAAGGCGCCAGATTTAAGCTCTGGTTCACACTGTGAGCGTGGGTTCGAATCCCACTTCTGACAAATGGAAGCGTTGCTTCTTTTTTTTCTCAAACAGATACCCATCGATCATAAACGCAGAATTAAACACTTGCAAAGATTTTTTTTCCAAATTCAACTTTTTATCAAAATAAAAATTTCCGCAATATAAACTGGCATAAAAGCTGGTAACTTGTCCAGAATGTGACATATTACCGTTTAACGGAGAAAAAAATTTGTCAGAAGTGGGATTCGAACCCACGCTCACAGTGTGAACCAGAGATTTCATTTTCTTAAATCTGGCGCCTTAGACCGCTCGGCCATCCTGACTCATGACAGACAATTGTGTCACTGCCGCTTTAAGCAACGTACAGCGACACAGCGACACAGCGCGTGTCAATAGCAAACTCATTCAGCTTTGTTTTTACTATAATCGAATTTTTATTATTGTCGTTTTCAATTTCAATTGTGCACAAATGTTATTACTCATTTTGAGTCTAAACTCGGTTATCTTATTGATGACGTTTAATTCTGATAAAAAGAATCACATACTTCAGATTAAATACCCTAGAGTAATAGGTTGAAAACGAAATCAATTCTTTGAAAATGTACAAACGACATCAACAACAACAAAAAGTATAAGTAAATGGAATGATTGCGAAATGTTACGCGTCAATCCGCTCTATTTCAGCTACTGTAGAATGTGCATCGTCTTGAGCATCCGCCCATACGTGCATTCATGCAATACTTCATTCATATTTTTATGCTTGATTCACCGAGTTTCTGTGACAGTAGCACATAATTATTGCCCGTTTACGCGAATATTAATATGTTTTTGTCAATTTTATTTTTTCGCTCGGGTGTATGCGAAACAAAAAGCAAGCAAATTCAATTCAATTGACTTTTCGCCATTTCACATGCTCAACGAGCACAAGTGGTTATTGACATACAGTTGCTATAAGTGTATATCTAGTTTGAAACAGCTGTTCAACAATTTGAAAGCAGTTTTAATGTCAATAGCTCTATTGCCGACACAGGCCATCAGGTTGCATCAACTGTTCAACAGCTCAAGTGACTCGGTTTCGAAACACTTTAGCTCGTAGATTTTTTTTTATTCGAATCGACTGAGCGGATTTTTTTCTGTTTATTGCCAAAAATTTGATTGAATCGACAATTAATTGAATTAAATAAGAAACGCATATCACGCTGTTTTGCGTTGCTTTTGACAACAACGACGACGACGACGACGACGACGACGATGACAAAAAATATGCGTCCATCCAAGCAAAAGAAATTCTTTGGCACCGTATTACTCATTTCCATTTGTTTTGATTGTAATTTGAATTGAAATTGATATACATCAAAGCCTATAATTTTGGTTTGCCACATCGAATTGACACAAATCCAAGAACCGCAACATTGTCAATGTCAAAAAACAACGAAACCACTAATCCTTTCGCAAAGAACCAAAGAAAAAATAGATACGAAAGGCTACCTTTCTAAAATGCGCAAAAAGTCAATCTGATTTGCAGGCTAAATGTGCTTCAATCCGACCTCTTAATCTCTGGTTTTCTGGTTAGAACCCAAATCAAATCAGCATCACTTTACTTTCGAATTAAAGGTATGCGTTATTCTTTTTCGCCGAATTTGCAAGCCACCTTTTGATAATACTATGTTTGATGATAGAGTAGTCAGATTATAACAAATATCTCGTTATTGTTCTGTGTACTATAATTATAATTATTGCGAATCTATTAGATCTCGTATTTCGAACAAACAAACAAACAAACAAATATGTATGTGTAACAATTTGCGTCGAAATTCTTCTCTCTTATTTTTTGCGCCCCCTCCGGTGGCCCGCATGGCAATTGTTAAGATTTTTATGCACGACAGCCCGTAGACTATACCGAGCGCAATGAACTGTGCACGCAAATTTGCCAAAAATGTTCAATTTACGATCAATAAAGTGGGATTGAGCGAAATTCAGGTTTGATACACGTCGAGAAATTGCGGATAATCTTGAGTGTCATCACGCGTGTGTATCATTGTTTGATACTGGATTTGTGTGATTGTTGTTTTCTGACAAATCATCGTGTGTAATTTCGAGCCATTCCAAAAGAAATAAATTCCGTACGCAGTAAACTCGGCTATTCATTCGTTCGCAAAAGTTTGACCCGTTGACCACGAACAGTGCATAGCAATATATACATTGAAGATCATTTTACATTTACAACATTTCAAAGTTCAAAAGAAGAATATCCAAAAAAGTTCCCGAAGATAAAGATAAACGATACGATACGATACGAGATAAAATCAATAGCAATCAAAACAACATCAGTGACTCCAATTCTAACTTCAAGTGCAATAAATCCATCCCGGTAAACAACAATGAAGTGGTTCAGTGTCTTGTTTGTGGCATTCATTTGGATGTTATTTGCCGTTGGAAGCATTGAGATGCATCCACGACCACAGCCAGAGGTGAGCAGCAAATTGAAGAGTGTAAATGTAAAACACCATCAATAACTATTCTCTTTCTCTCTGTGTTCAAGTGCGTACAGTTCAAGTGGTACTGCAATTTTTGTACCAATTGTTTGGTCGACATACATTCGTTTTTGGTATATGAGTGACCGACGATGCTGTACGCGCGCCACAACACAAATAAATTTCCTTTATTTAATAGGTGTTAACATGACTTGATTCATTATAGTTTTTTTTTAATCCAGTGTTTTTTTCTTTGTTCTTCTAGCTACCGGAGAATATAAATAACGAACATTCCATGGCAAGTCCTTGTTCAAGCCGAAAGAGGAGATGTTTTTAAAAATTAATCGAAATATGAGTATGAAGAAAAAAAATCACGCCTCTGACAGATGATTTTGCTTAGATTACATCAAATGGAATTCATCTGATCAATCAGATATCAACAACAATAATTTATTTTTCTTATATTTAACCGAATTTGTTCCCCATATCTTATTTTTCAACTTTTACACACACTAAGTGTGACGGAAGAGTGTTACAATTATTTATGTTTTTCCTGCAATAAAAGCCAATAAATCAAACTCCAATATTAAATTCGCTGTTTTCTCACCTTTTTTTCTTTTTGTTAAATTCTATAATAAATCGGTATGCTAACAGTGTACTGGACCATAAAACAAACGATTGAAAAAGATTAAATGATTTACATTTCCAAATTATTCAACTTTCTGCATCATCCAAATCAGACGTCCTAATATATCGCATCAATAACAAAAAAGGACAACTCACGCAATCCAAACCAAGCCACCATGACAATGCAACAATTGGAAATTACATAGCCGCTCCTCCGCTGAAGCAAAAAAATTCATACCAATGATAATAATTAAAAAGTAAAAATTGGTTTATTATTTAAATTGATTGGCATCATTTCCAGAATTAACTACTTATACAGATACGTTTAATTTTTGCTAAAAAAAATTGTTTCTTCTTCTATGGAATATTTGTCATCTAATCGTTAACAATTCGATCGTCGAATCTCCTGATTTCTACAAAAACAAAATCAAACAAAAGAGAAAAAAATTAATCATAACATGTCGCAATTGCTTTGCAACAACAACATCATCATCGTTATCGACAACAGTTTGGTTGGATTGTTGCATTAGCTGCCTAGAATTTTGTTTAGATCGTCTGGAAGAAATCGTTTCATATCCTCTAAATGTTGAAGAAGTTGTTTGCGGCTGTTTTCATTCTGTGCAATTACCACTTGCGGTAAACCGTCCATTGAGATTTCATTGCAGATTTTCAGCTTTTTTTTCAATTTCAAAATCATGTCCACTATTTCAACTTCATGTCTGCCCACGACCCATTGCTTTAGATTCTGTACGAAAACAAACAAAGGAAAATTAAAATGTTATGTTTTGAATAGTGAATATACGAACCGTATTCGAGAGTGCTTGCATTTGTAAATGTTCCAGTGTTTGGGTTAATTCGCGATGACGCAGTTCATACCAGTCTAGAAAGTTTTTCGATCGAAAGAAACGTTTGTATAAACCAGACCAGTCACCTTTTAACGGTGACGTGAGCTGCGGACCAGAATGTTCGAGTGTGGCCAGAAAACAGTCTGGCTTGAATTGATTTGGAGGCGGTGCGGCTCGGAATGCCGATATATTCTTTTGTAATGGCATCAATGATGCCATATATCGTTCCAGTGGAATCATAAAACTTTGCGTCAATTCGAGTAAATGACGACGCAAAATGGCCGATTGCACCTCGGCCGGTCGTTGTTTCTTCACACCAGCCACCAGATTTCGAATGATGGTTTTGTCTTTCTGCAGATATGGCTTATACTGTGTGTAAACGCCAGGCGGTGTGTCCAGAATTTTAGTGAAAATTTTCAACTTTCGTAAACCCTGTTGTGTGAGCATACCCGAGGTAGACGGATTGTTTGATGCATTTACACCTAAATTCGATCCTGACAAAAAAAGGGAATAGATGAAAATCGTTCGAATGACCGATTGTTGTCATGGTTTTTTTTGTTTATCCAATTCCAGTGTGAATACAAAAATCAAAAATCCATTCTCACAAAACAAACTACAGATTTACGGGCAATAACATATTATTAACTATACTTAATAACATAATAATAACGGCGGTATATTTGGTCCAACATAACATAATAATAACGGCCAATATGTTTATTAACATATCGACATATTATCTTAATAACGACCAAAAAAATCGCAAAAAAAAGTTTCATGTAAAAAACATGTCAATTTTTTTCAGACGAAAAAATGTTGAGAAAAAAATGTGTCTTGCAAAATTTGACATAATTTTTGTATGAAACTTTTGAAGAAAACATGTTTGACATGTTTTTTACATGAAACTTTTTTTGCGATTTTTTTGGTCGTTATTAAGATAATATGTTATTATAATGTCAAATCTTTAATAACGTTATTAAGATAAAAAAAATCCCAACATAACATAATAATAAATATGTCGGGCAAAAACATATTAATAACATATCGAAAATGTAAATCTGTAAAACAAACACTCTACTTGTCATTTAGATTGAAAGAAACAAATGATTCATTTACCATTATTATTGTCGGCCATTCGAATGAGGTGTGGCCAATGTTGAAGTGTCTTTGAGAAAAATGGATTCGTGACACCTAGGATAATTGGCACAGGCCCTTGTTGGCGCTGTGTAAATTCTTTGAATTCGCTATCGTGGATTGTAAAATATGGTCGAGCCTCAGCCGCATATGGCAATGGAGCTATTATGCTGTGGGAGAAAACAGAAGAAGCGAATTTATTTCGAATGTTTCAAATGAATTAAACGTTTGTTGTCATTTATTCTTTTTTTCGTACCTCATGAGTGATTGAACCATGTGCGAGCAATCGCTGGGTGATGTGGCCATTACGACAATAGGTTCGGCGGTTAAAACGAGTTCCCACAACAGATGCGTATACGATATCACCGTATACAAACTTCGAAAAATATCGATTTCCGTTGCGGATGACAGACACATCACGGATGTTTTGGCCATTGACTGTTGTGCCGCTGCTATTCGCAATGGTCGCTCAATATTTGTACTTGCATCGGTATGAGTATTTGCTGATTCGTCTACTTTATTATTATCACTGTAATTTTCATCAAAATAATCGTCTAAATCCACATCGGCCTCGTCACCGCCGCCACCGCCAACACCACCACTCTCATTATTATCATTCTCATTCTCATAATCATTTGCATTATTGGCACCGGTCGATTTACTAGAGTTGCTATCACATGGCGAATCAGGCTGTTTTTTTAGTTTTTGAGCTAATAACATTTCCTTTGACTGCTTATAACTATCTAAAATATCTTCACGAGACAGAGTAATGTCTGTGTTGTTGCTAGCCACCCTCTGCTGATCACTATCACTAGATTGATTCAGGTCATCGTTTTTCACACTTGACAGTTCATCATCGCTCGTTGAACTGGCCAAATCAGCGGCGACTGGAACGGCAGCGGTGACGGGCTGTTTCGCTTCGTTTGACGATGTCAAATCGGGCGATGAAATTTTCAGATCTTCATGTTCTTGATTTGGAGCGTTCGCTGATGAGGGCGTTGACAATGAATATGGCTGTTGCAAATTGGCTGACGTCAAACTTGGAATGTACGTTTGAAATTGAGTGCCAAGCAACGGCAACTGTATACATTCACCGGCTTGCAACGACGGCCAGTTACTAATGTCCAAACATGCATTATGCAAGACACTTTCACCACCAGCAAAGTACTTGGGTGCAATCAATGCCAACACTTCATAGAATAAATTGACAAACGGCAGCCGTGACAACAGTATTACACTCTGAAAAGTAAAAGAAAAAAGAGAACGAAAAGAAACTGCGTCAATCATTTTCAGTTTTCACTCATGATAAGAGTCGAAGATGCTAATGTCTGTTCAGAAATGAAACGTACCTTCTGAAAATATCCTCGAGGTAATGACGAGTCTTTCATTTGGCGGAAATAAACGAAGCCCCAATAATGACCTACGTCTGGGCGCTGATTCGTTTGACAAGTCAAGCTAAAACGTTGCAGTTCCGGATTTAGCATGGTATTTTTCGTGCCCGGCGCGACTCGTAACCTTATATGAAATTGCGTATCACCAATACAACCGGAATTTGAGTCGGGAAATGCCAAATAGCAAATGTTCAGTTTTTCCTTCTCAGATAGTTCTACTGATGCTGGATAAATGGCCTGAAAATGTTCGAAGAAACATCGTCATCAATCTCTCAATAATTGAAATGAAAGTTTGTTTGTACCTCCATGGCTTGACCCAGCTCCAGATCAAATGTAACCACACATATACAATGAATCCACTCGGATAAACGTTGCCATTCCTTGGGCTGTAATATTTCCTGGTTTGTTCCATTGTTTTTCGTTAGATCCATCGTCGCTTGGTATTTGGTCGGTTTTTGTGTGTTTGTTTGACTCTTTTTTTTCCTACTATTTTACAAGTTATTTGAAATAACTATGGTGCAGTTTAAAAATTCATGCCGTCGATAGAGCGAACAAAAAACGAGATTAAATGCATTTGAGATGAGCCCGCATGTCTTCTCAATCCATTCACCTGCGCCGATTGAAATCTATCATTCAAATCCAGAGAGGAGAGAAAAAAGAAGATGAACAATAGAAACGAAGAGAAGAGAAAAAAAAACATGGAAAAACGACACCGGTTCAGTGATATCGTTCAATGTGTCTTTTCTCTCAGTGAAAGTCTTTGTCTATCTCTCTAACGCTGAATGTTTCAACGAATTTATGAAAATATAATAATGCCGAACCACTTGTTTGTCACATATCTAACTCCGACCAATGGATATGAATAGGTAATTACTCTTTAAGACGCAACACACTTTGAACTTTAAATACCCTGGCCATAATAGGCTTCAATTAACATAGTCAAGAGCATAAAATCCAGTTGGTGTGTGGATATTTTTAGGAAGCACGTTCCGTCAAAGAGCAACGAAACCAAGCAAACAACAAAAACAAAGAAAGTGTGACAAAAGCAACAACTGAAAAAAATATACGAGCGAAATGATTATCGGCAAGCAAGTGATTTGTGTGAATCTTTTAAGTGTGTTGTGCGATTTTGAAAACCAAAAAAAAACATCGTACAAAGTACATCGGCAAATCGTTTGCATGCCTGTAAGTTTCAAGGTAGCTTGCTCTGCAAGGACAGTGAATGGAGCATTGAAATTGTTTATCAAAATTTCGCAAATTTATTGAAATTAAGATAAAATTTACAAAAAGAAAACATCACACTAATACACTATCAATTCGAATAGATAATATCAGCCAAGAAAAAAGGGGGAGAAAAAAATGTTGTTTTTGTTATTGTAAATTGTCTGCGTTTCACATACAACACAAAACATAAATCTCTCATAAAACCACCAAATTTTATTTGTTCAATGAAATTGAACAAATTTGACAATTTACGCATAGAAAACATTCGAATAAATATAGCGGATTCAACGCACTTACAAACAAATAAAGAAACAATTTCACTATAAATACGAAGAGCACATTACAAAACTTTCCTTTTGATACTTCGCTGTGATTATTTCTAATTTAGTATCGCTGATGTTGAGAGACTGACATTTCACTTGATGTCTGTGTGTTTTGATGGTTCGGTCCGGTTGGGTTTTCGCCATATTACGATGTTGGTACGCGTGACTGTCAAACACTCGTACCGTCTCTTGTACGTAAATCGTAAACAAAACCCAAGTTGGTTAGTACATGTGGTGTGTGTGCGCAAGAATTTTGTTTCGCATTTCTTTTATTTTCTCTCCATCGTGTTTGTATGCACATTATTGGTTGGACTTCGACCAATGCGTTTGGTAAATTGAGGTAATAAAACTACCTTTTGGGTGTTTCGTTCTGTTTTTGGTTCTGATATGGTTGATAACAAAAAATTTTGTTTGATTAACAGAATGGCAACAAATACCGGAAAAATTAAGGCGATTCTCATCGATTTGAGTGGAACACTTCATGTTGATGATGATCCAACATCGAATGCTATTCAAGCCTTGCAAAAGTAATGCTCATCCCCTTCTCGCACATTCGATACACAAAATAAAACGGTTATTTTTTTTATGAATCGAAATTATGATGACCGGTTTTAATGGTTTGTAAATACAACACATTTTCTTCATAGGCTTCGGTCGATAAACGATATTCAATTGCGTTTTGTCACCAATACGACGAAGGAATCGAAGGAAACGCTTCTGCAGCGGCTACATCGTATCGGCTTTTCATCCATTAGCAAAGATGATATGTTTACATCGCTGTCGGCAGCAGTCCAATATGTGAAAACGAACGATTTGAAACCGTTTTACTTGCTGACTGAAGATGCGAAAAAGGATTTCGGCGAGCAAACAACGGAAAATTCGTCAGCAGCGACAATGACAACAACAACAACAGCAGCAGCAACAGAATCGAACGATGATGGTAACGAAAACTCGGTCGTCGTTGGATTAGCGCCCGACAAATTTGTTTACGAAACCATCAATGAAGCTTTTCGGTATGATTTTTATGAGTGGTGGAGCGACGGAAACAGTGGCAACGAAAGCCACCCTCTTCATTCAAATCCAAACCCAATGAGATGGAAAAATATTATTTATTTCTCTCATTTTTATTTTTATTTTATTTTATTTTATTTTCTTTCTTTATCGGTATTCTTATTCTTCTCTGGCTGAATAAATATGATGAATGTCAGTGTGTTGATGAAGGAGAACAGTAAATTGATTGCGGTTCATGAAGGGAAATACTTCAAGCGTGGCGATGGTTTGGCTGTTGGACCCGGATGTTTTACACGAGGCCTTGAATATGCATCTGGTAAAACGGCCACAGTGATTGGTAAGTTTGTCACAAGCAAAACTTCTTTTGTTTTGTCCGCTATTTTTATTGAATCATTGCAATATTGCTGGTAAGAATATTTACAATGATTGCAAACAAACTGTAAGAAAAAAAAATCAAAGTTGTGTAACAATCGTTAAATTGCATTTCATAGGGAAACCAAATCCGTATTTCTTCAATTGCGCCATCCCAGAGGGAATATCACCGCATGAATGCTGCATGATTGGCGACGTGAGTGTCTCTTTTGTTCCACCAACACTCTCTCTCTCTCTCTCTGTTTTCATACACACACATTTGCACGCACACTCGCGTCACGAGACTCAACATCGACCGAACATTCAGTAAATTTTCCATATTTCAGCATATTCTGGAATGACATACAGATGCAAAAATAAAATGCCCATTTATGAGTCATGAATAAATTATCACATTTAACCTACAACAAAACGACCCGCTTTAACGTTATTGTTGTAGACAGGCTAACGAAGCTTCATCTCTATCTCTCTCGCCAACTATATGTACACATACGTATTTGTGTACACAAACACACCATATTAACGTTGGCAATGTTTTTAATGACTATTTGCATAAAATATTAAAGACGACAAAATATCCCCGGTGAAATGAAGAGAAAGAACGACAA